CTTTCTCTAAAAAGAAGGCACAAGTGTGTTTTTGCCCTCTAACTAGTAAAATGTTGTGATTATGTTTATCAAGAGTCTTCTCCAAAAATGTGTATTTAACCACCAAATCTTCCACCTGTTGATGTTTATATTATTGTTACACAGAGTAACGTCCTGGATCGGGCAGTGGACTGGATCTTCTCTCATCTGGACGACCTGGAGTCTATGGATGTATCTGAAGGAGGACGCTCAGCTGCAGAAAGTGAGGGCGGCAGGGAGCCTCCACCTGGACCTCGTGTCAGAGACGGACCGGGCAGTAAGTCTTTAGGGGAGAGCTGAGACAGGAGGCATTCAGAATGAAATCAGAATGTGTCCTCACAAATTCCGCTTGCAAATAGGTCCAGGCAAGGTTTTTCCTGACTCAGCAAATTCCTCTACGCAACAAAAAACTAAAAATTAAGAGGTGATCAGAAAGACAAAGAGTAGAGCGTACCATCTTCTTTTTAAGGTCTTATGTTCCTCCTGTCATCAAAATTTGGTTTCACATTATATATGTCCTACATAATTTAGAATTGCAATTGCAGTGATATGTTCTCATTTTTTTCCAGAATACGAGCTGTTTGCTTTTATCAGTCACATGGGGACGAGTACCATGTGTGGCCACTACGTCTGTCACATCAAGAAGGACCAGCAGTAAGTGTTTTTTTTCATGTTTTCCTACCTTTTAAGATATATTTTACAGTTTCAAAACCTCACTGTTACATTTAAAGATCAGAAGCAACTGTTAAAATAATAATTTAAGCAAATAAACCAGAAAATGAATTGCATTCATATCCATACTTTTTTTTTTCCCCCAAAGGAAAACAAAATATAAATGAGTTACAGTCCAACTGTTATCTTATCCAGTTAAGTAGGGCAAATGTCAGAAAGAATGACATTAAATTGTATTAGTCATTGGTTTTAAGATGACTCAGCAGGGGGCGCCACACTCCACGTCAGGTCTTAACATAAAAGCATCATTAGTTTAAATGTTTCCATTAACCTTCCACTAACCTGCCTACTCAGCTAAAACGTATTTCATATCTGGATAATAAAAGTCGTCCCATGTGTGGAGTACCGATCTAGTAGGTCCTTCTTTGAACAAAGGAAATGTTTGGTTACTATGGTAACCCTGGTTCCCTGAAAACTGAGTAAGGTATCTCGCTATGGAAAGTGCCGTCTGGCTTGACCAATCCCAGAAGTTCCACTACATCCGTGTTTGTCCAAAGTCAAACCAGTCATTTTGGGCGACAGGGGGCCTGCACCGGTCACTGCCAACACATTTCTTTTACAAGCTGCTACGATCAGGGAAGTGTGGAGACTTACGTCATTCAACTTTCAGAAAACCGACTGGGGTTACGTTTTCTCTCAAACCTCACTCAGTATTTCACGATAGGAGATACAGCCCACTCCCAGATTGCATGCACCGAAGCCCAAAGACAACCTAAACCGGCGGGTGGACCCCACATGCCCACCCCGGAGGCTACAGCATAAGTTAGAGCCAACACTGATGATGCCAATGAAGGCACAGTCACATCGAATCTAATAAAGTTTATAATAGCTGCTCAGAGAATCCTCCAAGGAACAGGAAGCAGCCAAACTTATGATGGAATGTGCTCACAGCTGCAGTCCATGACACTCATATGCCACCAAAACAGCCTCCACGTCCGAGTGTGACTGCCAGACCTAAATATGCTATATTCTGAGTGGGAAATGGAATGCACTTGATATGATGGATACTTAAACCCAGGCCAGAGAGGCTGTGTAACAGCGCCTGAGTGTCCCTCCCCGCTTGTTTCCCGCTGGGAACGCATATTAGAAAACTGTCCAAATATGCAAGCACTCAGAGACTCGGTTTAGGTTGCTTTGACACATTTGCTGAAGACCCTCAGTGTGAGTGGCTGCTTGAACGGGAGGGTCTGGTAATCGTAGGATACACCCTGAGAAGTGAACCTGAAAAACATTCTTTGAGCTGGATAAATACTTCAAAATTAGCATCCTGTAGATCTGTCAGTGAGCGTTCGTCACATGGCCAGACAGACCAAACAGAACATTGTTTGGAATGAGGAAATATTGAGAAAAGAAACCAAGATTAATGTCCTCATCAGGCACAATTTGAATTGCCCTGTAACTAAAGAGAAAGTAAATTTGGTCGTCCAAAGTCCTTTCCACTTCTCCCATAGCCGCTGGAAAAAGTACGCTATTGAAACTCTGTGGCTTTGCAGCAAGTTAAAGCACATAACTCAGAACTGACCCATCAGGGCGTTGAGGGTGAATGAACTGGACAGCACTTAGGGAACTTGTACTTTCTGCCACTGTGGATGGAGTCAACATTGTGAGCCATTACATAGCACAAGGGTTTTTATGGGTGCACAGAGGTCAAAAACTTTACCCAATACCCTGCGTCGTCCTCAGTTACTAACATGTTTCATAGTGGTAACTGCATCACCAAATAATCCCCTCGCACATGAGGGCTTGAACAGGGAGTTCATGGTGACCTGCTTATTCTGGTTAGGCAGGCTGGAGAGATTGAGACACATCGGTCTGACGTAGCCACAGCCCTGCACTGCACCTTGAGACACCCAAAGGATGAAGACTGTAATACCTCATACCAAATGGCCAGACCTAGATCCCCCTCAAACAGCTCATTCTGGTAACCTCTGATAAGGGTGACCGTGATCATGTTTTTATTTTTAACCCAGTCTACACGTTGAAACTGGCTGCAGACCTCTAAATCTTTTGGTGTATGGAGGCTGTGAAGTGCTCCACCTTACCAGGGGAGGAATGGTCCAGTTGAGGTGGAGATGGTACAGTTAGTCCCAAAACCTCAGTGCTGCAATTTCCAGGCCAGAATAATCCTTGATGGGGACTCTGGTGAAACAGTTTATCCCAGTAATGCCTCATTACATCTCAGCATGAGCTGTTTGGTAAATAGTAAATGGTCCGCACGTATAAAAGCAGATTTTTAACCTGAGCTACGTTCTACAAAGTGCTTTACACTGTGTTTCTTGATTACCCATTCTCACACACCAGTGGTGGCAGAGCAACAGCACATCATCAGTAGGGTAAAGCTAACCTGTCTCACGACGGTCTAAACCCAGCTCACGTTCCCTATTAGTGGGTGAACAATCCAACGCTTGGTGAATTCTGCTTCAGAATGATGGGAAGAGCCGCCATCGAAGGATCAACATCAGTCACAGTGTCAGTTTGTTGAAAAAGTTTGCCTCCACCTCCCAGTTGCTGCGTCTGCAACATCAATTCACCTAAATTTTAATTCCACATACTATATCTGTAATTATATATTGATTTGGCAGAATTCCAGTTTGAGACATCTGCAACATCATTCTGGATATTTTTTTTTTTTTAATTTAATTGAAGATATCTAAAAAGGACAATATATATAACTTGAACCGAGGGGAATTTGAGATATCTTGAACTTAAAGTGTGACTAGTCGGAATTAAACTGTAGATATCTGAAACTGCAAATGAATCATGACTAATGCTAATTCCAGACATCAGCTGTGTAAATTACATATACAGTATCTGGAACTGAATTGTGGATATTTGTAATGACAAAACTCCAAAGGATAATTTGTCCTGGGAAAAAAGACATTTTGGAGATCTGAAATGTTAAATGTCAATGGCTTGCCATAGACTCAGGTTTACTAGTTGGGCCATGCCAGCTGCTCACCTGCCATTCAGAACAAATTATGGTTCAGTGTTCTGCTCAAGCTCAGCTCAGTTCAATTCAGTTTTCTATATTTACAACATATGTCCTCTCACAACATGTAACATGCTGTGAGAGGACATATGTAAGGGGAAGATCTTAGGAGCTGCACAGACGTGGTGGTGTTGGAGCTCCTGTGATTGGTCATGTCAGAAGGCGCTTCCCAAAGTGAGATACCAAACAAGCTTTGAAAGCAAACTACCATAGTGTCTTCTTTACGGATGCTGTAATTCTTTCGGCAGTAGCAGGTCCTAATGAACTGTGCGTTGTCTTCGTGTTTCGCAGATGGGTCATCTTCAACGATCAGAAGGTGTGCGCTTCAGAGAAACCTCCCAAAGACCTGGGATACCTCTACTTCTACCGTAGAGTGGCTGAATGAGACATGTGGACGCTAACAAACACACATGGCAACGTTCTTAGATGCACTCCACCAAGCTCTTACAAATGCCCTGGCATGCTTCACAACTAAAAACAGTGTAAATACATCTCTCAGATTGCATATATACACAGTTAATTAAATTGGTGCAGATATACAGTTAAGTTGTTGGGGGGGGTAAGCGTTTCTTTTGATTATAAACCTTGGGCCTGTTCAGAGAGCAGATTCAGTGAGTTATCTCGGTATCTCTGCTGAGTATAGCTGACGTATGTTCCAGGTTTTACGCAGAAAATATACTCAGATAATTCAGAAATCCTGCTTCAGGGAACAAGCCCCAAACATTCGAGGGACTGTGATTGCTGACTCCATTCACTCTTCATTAATGAGTTTGCTGAACTGCCACCATTAATCTGTTTCCTGACTATTGATTTCCACTGCCATCAGTAGTCACTGCCCCTCCCCAATAAAAGATCTTGCTTCCAGCCCCCTCTTGTGTGATTGGACGGTTACAGCTTGGTGTCAGTGCCTCAGCCAGCACCACTTCCTCCTCCACCTGTTTAGGTGAGGAAGAACAGTTCAACGTCCACCATATGAGAAAATGTCAGTAAATCAAAAAAAATAACAAATGTGTGTTACAAAAAGGAAATAAAAAAAAAGTCAAACACCAAATCACTTGTTTTTTTCTTAAAAGTTTGGTGAGGTTGTTATCTGGGTGGTTTTTGTTTTCTTTTGTTTTTATTTGGAAAACAGATGCTTTGTTACTTCTGCTGTGACAAATAAAGAATTCTCTTTCTGTCACACTGCCTGTTCTTTTCTCAGTGTGTCACGTAGATCTGGTTGTTTTGTTTTTCATATCGGTTTCACATGCGTAAAGAAGTTTATGATGAGTTTGCATCTTTCTGAGAGAAGTGCCACAGTGTGTGCCATTTTGGCCATTTCTGAACAAGTGTTTGTGAGCTGCTGCAGCACTTTGCTCAGCTTTGTGTTGTATACAGAATGCCAGGCCTAGATTGCAAGAAAAGACAACCCTGAGAAGAAAACCCACATAGAGCTGGGGTTAGCGTGGCCTACAACTTTCCAAAGTGCAGGTTCCTCTTCATACGTCTTCCGCCTTCTACAGTCTTTGCATCCTTGTGCTCTTGTTTTTGATGAAGTCAAGCACAGAGAGGATAAAGTTTTCGGCATCCAATAACGACACAAATCACACCGCTTTGGCTCAAAACTAAGGTAAGACCTTAAAGTATTTGATAAACTTAAGTGTTTTATTGTACAACATATGTTTTTGTGCCTATTCTGTATCTGCTTTGCTTTCGTTCTGTAATTCAACCTTAACATCAAGTGCACTATGTTATATATACTAAATATATTTTAGGTTGATGCGGTCTTTTCTATGTCTCTGCAATCAAATTGTTAAGTCATATAGCCAAGTGTCGGAGCCTAAATGAAACTTTCAAGAACACGGAAAAGAAAAAATGTGTCCGACCATATTTCCAAGCCTTTAGTGTGTACGTCGAAATCAATCAAAAAAGTGTTAAAGATTCTTTATAACGACAATTAATTGGTATTAAGTAACCCAGTTTAAGTTAATTGATGTAATATGTTCTATTTAGCATAATAATATGTTAAAAGGAACTTCAAAACAGTTTTGATACAGTTCTCCGACAATAATTATCTGATCAGATTGTATTTGTTGATATCCAGTGTAATGGAAATAAAAATAAAGAGTTTGTAGCTTTTAAATGAGAAATTGTTCATATAAATGAAGTTTTTCAGCTTTCTGGAATTAATCCTAAAAAAACGTTCTAAAATAACTCAGAGAGAAATGCTGATAAATGGTGATGCATTTCCCTGATTTGTTGGCTTTACTGGCAACAGAAACGCACAACAAAATGACTGCTTTTTTCAAAAGACTTGTAGTTTCTCATCATCATCACATAAAGCTTCAAGAGCACAGGAAGCAGCATTTTTGATCACATTATTTATTAGAGCCGGAACATGTGGTGAACATTTTCTCAGTGAGTATATATTCCAGTTTTGTTTAATGTGCATGCAGCAAGTTTTCACATTTTTATTACAAGAAATAGAGGCAGGAAGTAGAGAGAGAGAGAGCTTAGGGTTAGGGATCACATGTTTTCTGGTACGGTGCTCATCTCACACAGAAGTTGCGAGCGCTGTGTCTACAAAATGGATGAAGGGTTGGCTTTCACATCATCGTTTTTTTGTTGTTGTTTTGATTTAAATCTTTGATGATTTTGCATTTGTGATTGTTCCCCTACTCCTCAGATCCATCGTTCAAAATGCTGGCAATTCTGTGGTTTGGGTTTGGTGAGTGAATCTACTTGAATATATTAACTTATTATAATAATCCATCAAAATGAAGGATTAATTCATAGCCTGTAACCTAAAACCAAATACAGTCCTCTTTAAATGCATTCATACCCTCCTATTAAAGAAGGAAAACATCAGCTGTCACTGAAATAAGTTGGAATTGACAAAAGTAATAATAAACAAAAAAAAAAATAGTGAAAATCATGACATTGCTTTTGAATTTTGGTTCAACAGAAGTATTGAAAAAAAACCAAGCAAACAAACATGATGGGACCTGTAAAGTAATATTTTGTTGAACAACCTTTGAGCCAATCACTGCTATCAAGCGTTTTCTGTAACTCTCAGTCAGACTTCTGCACCTGTTGACAGACCCCACTGCTCATCAGCACAGTGCTCTAATGGACAGTTTTGTTTTTTTGTTTTTTAATTATTCTTTTCAACCACAATTCAAAAGCAATATCTTATTTCACTAAATTATAATTTAGCAAATTTTTATTTATTATTACTTTTGTCAGTTTCTAGTTGTTTCAGTGACTGTTGTGAATTTTGCCTTTTCTTTAATGGAAGGTTATGAATACATTTGAGGACGACTGTGTGTCTCGTACGTTTTCCGAGTCTTTCAGTATAACTGGAAAAACCATGTGTGAAAATGGTTGTAGTTGTGTCTTACTCATCCCAAATGCCTACAAACCCTCGAATCGACTTGAGCCCTGTAGTCGCTCTATGAATCTACAGTGCAAAGTAATGAGATTACTGGACAAATACCGTCACTGTGTTCTCATCATATTGTACCTGTAAATACATGACACTAAATGAAGTGCTTTTAACAAACTGAATTCTTTCTCTTCAGTGCTGGTTGCACTCTCTGCAGGCGACATTATCTTCACAAAAGTCGGACAGACGGTCACCTTGGATTGTGGGGTCAGCGCCTTCCGAAGGCAGCTGTCATGGAGTCATAGTCAAAGTGGTTCTATTTATGACGATACTGGGAGGACCGTCCCTCGCAAAGGTACTCACAACAACGGAGCAGCAGTTGGCATCACTATATTATTGTTACATCCCGTTATATTAAATTATTGTATGTATTCTCTGAATTAGGTTTATCTAAAATTGCAAAAAGGTCAAAGGTGAGGACAATGAATCTGGAAATCTCTGGTGTGACAGAAGATGATGCTGGAAAACTGACGTGCACTGCAGATGGGAACCGTCATGAGCATACGCTTCTTGTGGTGTCAGGTGAGCAGCAGACTCAAGAAATAACACCTGTGTTATAAATAAAAAACAATAAAGAAATGAAACAAAATTTGAAAATGAAGAATTGTTCTGTTCTTCACACTGTTTACTATAACAAGCCAGTTCTGACACATATGACAAACATGAATCCAATATAAATCTACTGCTTTACACAGACACAGCTTTTTAAAAAGGAGTTTCCAGTGACTTACTGTTGCACTGTTTGGGAATCTCAAAAGACAGATTAAAAAAAAGATCCAAATCGAAGCAGCAGAGGCCAAAAATATCCAAATCCTAGTTGCCAGTATGCCAGTCGGGCTCCAGAAACAGTCGGTCCTACATTTCCTATGATTCAGTTTAACAACATCTTCAGCTTGCCTGCCTGTTCCAGTTAGAAGTGTTACCATTTGTCCATCAATAAGCTGTATACTACACTGCCATTGTCATGTTTCCTAATGGTTAGGCCTTTTGTTCAGCCTCCTCTTTCTCTTGGTGATCACCTGTGTCCTCCCTCTCTGTGTTAGCCTCTGTCTCTCCCTCTGCCGTTGTCCAGCGGGGCCAAGAGGCTACACTTGAATGTAGGATTAAATATCTAAACCCTGGACCTACAGTGAGTTGGAAGAGGCCAAATGGGTCTCCATATGGAGAGTCACCGACAGTTCATCTCAAAGCTGTCGCTGACTCAGACATCGGGACCTGGCAGTATACAATAACCTACAGCAGGAAGAATTTCACTGGGTATCTGGACATTAAATTAGAAGGTAGGACATTTTTACAGGTGCTTTATGTGCTTTCTGCCACAGCTAAAGTGACCCATGTGCTCAAAAGACAAAAAACGAAACATGTGCGTTTGCTTTCAGTGACTACTCCCGCCACCACCACATCAAGCGATTCCAAAAGCGCAAAGGACACCCACAAGCCATCCGGCAAAGACCGTACGTACTGCTCGTGTAAACCATCCCACTGCGATTGCTCGTTGCTTTAACCCTTTGTGGGGCAAGTGACCATATTTGGTAACTTCCTTGGACGTTCAAGATGTCCCCCCTGTGCCTCTCCTTGAGGTTGAAGAACCATTTGATTTAGTTTTTATATTAGTGCCAATATCATTGCCTTACAAAAATGTCACTAAACAAATGTTCCAGGAACTTTATAAACACTTTGTTACTGGTTTGCATTGAACTCCACTTTGATTTATTTTTTGAGGTTAGTGCCATTAATACCACTACGCCAAGAACAATGTTACTAAATGAACTTGTCAAGCACTTTATAAATACTTGGTTACTGGTTGTGTACAATTATCTCAAACTAAAATGTTTCTGAAGAAATGTTTTTTTGCAGTTTTATTTAATTTATTATAAATTCCTTTATTTACTTATTTTTTTTACATGTAGACCGGCAAGTTACCATATATGGAATGTTAATTAATCTTGATTTGCCACTTTTTTTTTTTTTAAGTCACAAAAGTAAAAATATCTTGAAATATCCTTCAATAACGCCCCAGGGTTGAAATGTTCATCTTCCAAGTATGTCAAGGAGTGCCCCATAAAGGGTTAAGGTGATTTTTCTCTGAATGTGTTATTGATTCTTTTGATCCTTACTTCCGGCCCTGTGTGTTTATTTTATTCATTTCTTTGCTCGACAAGCTGGCGCTGGCCGTCAGCCAGGTGACGCTGCTCTGCTGGGACTCAGCTGGTGGGTTTGGCTGGTGATTGGAGTCGGCTGCCTGGTTGTGATTCTCCTCGTGGTCCTTATCATCGTCTTGTGCAAGAGGGTCAGAGCCAGGAAGGTAAGTGAGGAAACTGAGAATCTTCCTGTGCTGTGAAATGAAAAGGAAAATGAGCATGACGTGGTTTGTTTTTATAGAGGAAATTTCTGAGGATGAAGAATTCCGCACAGCCGCTGAAACCCAAGAAGTACTGCCAGTGTGACCGGTAAACGTTCTTAACTTGCTATCTAGTAATAAATCCCTTTACCCTCTGTTCCCTTTACAGATGCTCTCTAATAGACTTTCCTCCTTTTATATCAGTGACTGTTTGACCTTCATTTTCAATGCGCCTTTTACCAAGTGCTTCCTTATTGTGTTGTAATTAGTGTGAAACTTTTTTTTCTCTTTACTCTCTTTATCACAGCCAAGCAGCTGCAGCCAAACCGCAGCAAGGGCGCCGGAGAGAGAAGCCATCAGCCCTCCCTCTGCAACCATGCTAATGAAGTGACATGAAAGGCGAAACTGAAGAAAAGAGAGAAGAACGAAAGAGAGGTGGTTCGAGGGGGAAACGAGGAAGAGATGGAGAGAGGGAGAAGAGGACCCCGTTGTGAATACGCCGTGAATGTAAATGAGCCTTTAAATGCGTGTGATGAAAAACAAACCAAGTGTGATGATGTAAACATTTTTCACTAAGTGTTACCGATGAACATACAATACCCGTCTCAGCCTGTCCGTCTCCTACGACTCTGTATCGACTCACCTGAGAACCATTCAGTCAGACTGTCATTCCTGTTTGTTGACTTTGTCTGTTTCCCTCCATTATTATGCATTCCTACTTATTTTCCTGAAGACTTGAACTGTCTTGTACTTTTTTTTTTTTTACATTTATGCAGCATATTAACATGCAACACAGAGTGTAAATCATTAACATTCATATATATACTGCCTGCAATTTGTCCTGCATGAACATTTTCTGTCTTTTTTTTCTGCAGTTAATAAACTAAAGATATCCAAGTGCAAACTTTGCTGGAATATTTCTATCCTCATATAACACTATAATATTTATATTTATAACTGTGGGGAAGGAGGACACAGGTGTTTACAGAGGGGTAACTACTGAGAGGGAACACTGGGTGGCTAATTAAAACAAAAAACAATGAGCAGTATAAAAAAATAAGGTTTAAAACAACAAAATCTTAAATTCTTTACAGCCTCATTCAGCGTAATAACAAACGCCACCTTTACTCTTCTTCTGACATCTTTACTCTGTGCCTGTGTTGGTTCCAAAGCTCTGGATTCCCCACAATTGGTGCAGGACAACGCAGGTGTTGACACCGATGCAACACAACATGAAACATGCAGTAAACACCTGCTTCATACGGTAACACAAGACCACCAGTGGCGTACGCACATATGCATTTTAGAAAGACAAACTATTTAATAATGAATGTGAGTTAAGAGATTCTTCTGCTATTTTTGTGAACTAGCAACTTTACAAAACATCTGCATGGTTCTTCCTGGTTTGTGTTAGTGTGTGGCTACGTAATCCTAATCTATGTAATCCATTTGGTACACAACAGAGAGGCTGGGATCATAGTGATGTCTGAATGTCTGACTTCCTGTGTGTGTGTGTGTGAGTGTGTGTGTGTGTGAGTGTGTGACAGAGACACCTGCAGTGCACACAACCTACAAAATGTCAAAGCTGAACTCATCGCTCTACTAGGAACATCACATGTAAGTACTCCTAAATATTCTGTATCCGCACTCACACCGCTACATGACAACAGACGATTTAAAGGTTTTCTCACACAGAGACGATATGTCAGCATAGCAGTGTCTTAAGGACATTAATTACTGTTAAAAGTACTGATAACTGTCACATATGCGGCATGGGATCTGCTCTCATAGACCGAAGCAAAGGGGCACCGAGGTGCAAGACGCAAATATGGTCCTAGCCAAGGCTGTATTTTAATATTTTTGATTTGTCTTGGCCTTTGTCTGGCCTCATCTGTGTTGGGGGTATTTTGCCCAAAAAAAAAAGAAAGAAAAAAGACACGAATGATGTAAAACACTTACAAGAACGTAGCGGGCCATAGTTCATAGTGTTCAGTGTATTACGCTGATAGAAACATAGAGAACACATGAACTGGTACAAATTCAGCAACATTCATTCACTCATTCAGTGTTTTATCGACAGACTGAAATAATTCTCAAATGTACCAGAGTGGATCTGTACGTTTGATCCTCTACAGGACGTCTCTCAAAATAAGTTCGTCCCTGTGATGTGCTTCTCAAAAATATCAACCCCGGGGAGGATTTCAAAATGTCAACTCAAAAATAGAATTTTCTGCTCTATAGTCTTTTGGTCCATAAAGATCAACACTTATGCAATAGGAGCAGGAACAGGCTGCTGGTTTTGCAATCGTTACATTGATTGGAGGGCACTACAAGTACAGTAAAGTTCAGTTAAAGGCTTTAATTGAGGAGGATGTAGAGGTTTAGGTAACTGTTGCTGTTAGCTGAGGGGTACAGCTCCGTCATGAGCAGAGAACATAATATGAAAACAGTTACCAATAATGTTTAAAAGTCATCATGTGTCAGCTCCTGTTGTTCAGATGCTATTCAAAGTCATTGCTTTTCACTAATTAAGTCTTTCTTTATGGAACCCATGTCTTCACATCTTAACGAATCATTTTATAGCCGTCATTTAATTTATGTGTTTTTCTAAACAGCACAGAGTAATTGTTGAAGTGTTTAAAAAGGTTGACAGAGAGTCTCTTGTGTTCTTGAAACAGCTGTAAAGACAAATTGCTTTGTTTGTCTATTTTGGGACGCTAATAGTGCCATCAGATACTTTTATTTGTTTTGTTTTGTGAACATGACAATTTAATAGAGCTTCCTTGCCACGACTGGCTGTTACCAGCCTCATGACATAAATCGTTATCTGTTGAGCGAATAAACAAAACGTCGACTTTGAATTAGCCTCCAGCGTGAACGATGCCTTGAGATATACACTGCATGTAAAATGTGCTACGTATAAGTGTTATGTGGCATACAGCATTTATTAGTTTAATGTAGGCAGCGTATTCACCAAAGATTTATAATTCTTCGTGCATAGTGGGGGTTCAATTAAAAGGGTTCTCAGTTACTGTAAGACGAAGCAAAAAAAATAAAGCTTTAGAATAAACCTACAGGCCATGACTGGTTGAAACTTTCTATAACTGGTCATGTGTCTGTTTTCTTTTATTGTCAAAGTGCACTGGAAACTAAACAGTTTGTCTACGAACAATCCAGAAGGTCTTTTACACAGCAGACATTTTGCCAGAGAAGGAGAAGCTCCTTCACGATGGCTCCGTTCAGTTCGAGAGTCCCAGTGAGCCCAGACGGTTTCTGGACCCTGCTGGTGTTGTGATACCAGGCCTCTAAAACCATGCTGCCCTTCAGAATGCCTTCTATGAAAAAGACTAATGTGAGACGCACTAAACGCATTAGCACTCCCCTCTCTTCGTGATGTCAGAAAATGCAAGATATGAGGGATTAACTGTTCAAAGTCGCGTGTAACATTACCACGGTGATAAGTAACATGAAAACGTGTAATAATTCCCTCCTATTAGATTTGTAAAGCAACGTGCTGATCATATCAAGGCAGGTCTGCACTGTGCCAACCTACAATCAAAATTTTTATTTAATTAACAGCAGGCGCCATAAATACAGATTATGTTCAAATTACAATTAATCACAGTTACCAAACATGACGGCTGATGTAACGCACCACGGACCATAGCTGTGCTGTACAAGGAGTTAGATACAGTATAACGAAATATAAATGTGCACTTTACTAGTTTTCTCCCCGCTTGTGTTTTCTTGTACGCTGCACTCGCTACGAAATCTGAACACTGAAAAGCCTAAAGTTCCTGATTAAACCCCGTATTAACTGATATTATCCTGTCGTAAGTGTTGTTTTGTGTGCTTGTATTTATTTGCTGCAGTCTGGTTAAAAAATAGCTGCTTTAACTCTTCAGTTTGATTTCAAATAGGAATAGTGCACTTTTTCTCTCTCTCTTTTTTTTTTCATATACGCACAGTTTTAGAGGTCCGACAAGTATTTAACCCTCCCATTATCTTTGCGGTCAGTTTGATCCCATTCAATGTTTAACATCTCTAAATAAGTCATTGACACATTTTTTTTCAGTTTTATTTAAAGGGCTATTTACACATAAACTCAGGTAACAATTTTAACTATGATATTTTCTGGAGGTTTAAATTGCTGGAGTCAAATTGAATCCAAGGATAAAAGCTGTCGGTAAACTTGAAGGTAATAAGAGGGTTAACCCTAATATTTTATGTCTTCACAATACTGTGAAGAATTCCTGCCAAGACTTCCCTCATCGTAAGCGTCCACACCAGATTTTAAACTACAGATGTATTTAGAATGTCTAAACAGCTCATGTCACGTTAATACACGTAAATGAAAAATACTCTTGAAACATGGCCTGTGCGGTTTCAAGAGTCCCTAAAACCATTGATTGATTGATTTGATCCACGCTGGTAGATCTAAAATCCATCTCAATGGTTACGGGTCAAATTTGACCCGAAACAGCCTCAGTGTACAGAAATTTGTAGCACCTGTAGAAAAGTATAATATTTTTAAAATGTTTTCATTTTGGTGTATTTTGGGTCACTTTAGGAAAAGTCATAAAATGTCAGGCTAAAAACCTGACGTTTAGGCTGTTTTTACTGCTGTCAAATGTCAAAACATGTCAGATTTGACCTAAAAAGTACAAAAGGGTTAACAGAATATCAATGGGAGTTTTTAAACAAAGTCATGATCTTCTTTAATATAAACTGAAGCCTGCATCCCACAGATATTAGCAGGCGCTTAGTGCTCTGCCAGATCTGTACTGCAGCCGTCTCCTTGTGTTGCTTTTTTGAGGGCTATTTGACTTCAGTCTGCTTAGAAGAATTAAGTTTGGACGACTGACTCGGTCACTCGATAACTTTCTCGTGTTTGACCATAAAAACGTAGCCAGGCCTCATCTGTATGTTTACGATGTGCTGCATCGTCCCAAACATTCAGAGGACTTTGTAGAAACGAGAGCCACTTTTCCTTCAGTGTTCATCCAATAAAACTAATACACAGCAGGTACAGTTTCATTTGAAGTCCAGAGAATAAAACAAAGTGCTGCTACTCCATTTGCATTACTATGAAAAACAAAAGCTAATCAATTTATTCATTTCTTCTTGCTGCTCAGCAACAACGTCACTATTGATGAAAACACTCTAGAGGATCTAGAGGCCTGATATTAACTTTGCTCTTCTCTGAATAGGTGCTGTGTTTCCCAAACTGTGCTTCCCTCACTGTCTTATGAAAGTCTATCTGTGCACTGGAGGTGTTCTCATATGAGACAAAAGGATTCCCTTTTTATGGGTTTATAAAGACCTGCATTACTCAGTTCTCTTTTTCACTGTCTTACACTGAACACACACACACACACATTTAAAATGAAACTGAAATCTCTGAACCGGTGTGTGTCCCTCCCTCTGGTGTTTCCATTTGGGTCATCATTTCATCAGTGTAAAACATCAGGAGCCATCATTTTCTTAATAAAGCCATTTAATCCTCAGACAAGCAAATACTGGAACAAATGCATGTTTCGAACAGCGGTGTCTGTTGGCCGCACGCTGATGTGTGAGTTTTCAGAGCAGGAAAAGGCAACTTAAAGTGTTCTGAGAAGTAAGACGTGAGCTCTGACTGCAGGTGCAACAGTTTGAAGTTTAATGCGTTTACGATTATCTGTCCACAGTTGTTCAATTTACACTGATTGTCAGTTAGGTGATTTCCCCTCTGTAAACTCCCTTCACGTGTAGCTTCAGCTGCGCACAGGTTTCAGCTGTCACAGGTTCTCATGAGTGGAGATGACCTGCAGATTGTGATTTAATGCTGTCGGACTCTGAAGCCGTCATCACATTTGTGACAACACCACAGAGTAATGCTTCCTTAGTGCTGCTGTGTGTTAAGCTTGCAGCTTTAATGGCTCTGCCATACAGAAACATGTGTTCAAAGTAGGCTAAGGGTAACACGCCAGGAAATGAAACATTAGGGTTAAATTGCTCTGAGCCTATATGGGGTAGATGCTGGTGGATGTGAGCACCTGTGTGTTTCAGATTACAGACGTTATGCTGTGAAGCTGAACGCACGGCAACCATCTGTTTGTCTGCATGTGCATCTACTGGTGTTGGTTTTCTCTGTTTATGTGACATGTGGCGTACTTCTGATTCCAGACTATTACAAAAAAAAAGCTGTTTAAAGGATGAGTTTAGATTTTTTTATTGTGACGGAGCACTTAGTGAAAAACAGTGTTTGTTAACAGCGACTGAGCCTCCTGTGGAAAGAAATAAGCTTGTATTATAGGTCTGATGTGAGAGATGAGGACGAAATCAACGGTCGTCATGATGAGAAACGAAGAAAAATATAAATGCAGCATGCAAATGGGCTGATTGTCTGACTTAGCTTAAAGGTTAAAATGTTATTTGAATTGTTCCGTGTAGTTAATTTAGTGAAATATGCACAAAAACATCCTGAGCCGTTTTCAACCTCTGATTTAATCTACACTGATGAGGTGGAGCATTAAGAGACTCTGTTCAGAGAGTGGGATCAGTATACAGACACTTCTCTGACTGTCTAAACCCATCTTAAAACACGACGTGGTTGAAATGACAGGATTCCACAGGCG